TTACCTCTAATTTTAATAATTTGTCTCCCCTACCCCATTCCCTGTTGATCTAGCTGGGTTTTTTTTCAAGGAACCAACTCTATTTCATTGACTCTTTGTGCTGCTCTTCTATATTCAGTCTCACTTATTTCTGCTGTGATCTTCATTATGTGTTTCTTTTACTAATTTTGGATTGGTTCTTGCTTTTCTGTGTTCTTGATATGTATCATTAACATATTTGTCTGTATCCAACAGATTTTGGTATGTTATGTTTTAGTTTTTATTTCAAGGAATTTTAAAATTTCCTGAGTTTCTCAATGATCCACTATTTATTTGAAAGTGTTTTTTTAATCTCTGTATATTTATATGATTTCTAAAGTTTCTCTTGTTATTGATATTTAGTTTCATTCCACTGTGATAAAAAGGATATTATTTCACTTTTGATGAATTTGCTAAAGTTTGTTTTGTGGCTTAATATGGTCTAGTTTAGAAAAAGTTCCATGTGCTAATGAAAAGAATGTATATTCTATAACTATTGAATGGAATGTTCTATTAAGTCCATTGATCTATAGTCAGTCCATTTGATGTATAATTCTGATTTTGTTGATTTTTTTCTTTGTTTAGATGCTTTATCCATTTGCTGGGATTAGGGTATTGAAATTTCCAACTGTTATTGTGTTAGAACCTACCTCTCCCTTTAGGACTAATAGTGTGTGTGTGTGTGTGTGTGTGTGTGTGTGTGTGTGTGTTATAAAACTGCATGCTCTGACATTAGGTGCATATAGATTTATAATCATTGTGTAGCTTCTTGATGAATTGATTCTGCTGGAGTCCTTGTTCCCACCTGAAACCTCCTGAGCCTCGCCTTTACTTGTGTGCATTTCTGTCCACATTCTGGTCTTTGCAGATCTGACGAGTCACTGCTCACAACATTCTACTGCTTCTCTAGCCAGCATGTCCAGACCTTTCCTAACTCTTCCCACAAACAAGTTCCAAAGGCTTCTAAACCACATGGTCAGGTATCGTCTCTGCAGTGACCACTCCTGGTACCAGAACCTGTCTCTGTCGCTTTTCATCACTGGGACAAAATACTTGACATCCAGAACTTAAAGGAAGATAGGTTTTTGTTTGGTTTGGGTTTTTTGCTTAAATTCTTCTATTGGTACATTTTAGGTATACAATACATTTACGTTTACGTTTACAATACATTGGGTGCTTGTACCTGTACATGATGTATCTTGGTTCTTATTTTTTCCCCATGACCTGTGCCTCCCCCCGGCTTCCATTACATAGACTTTGTTTCCATTTTGGACAGATGTGTAAATACTGAATAGTTGCTCTAGTATGAGAAACTGAAAGTGTAAATAAAGATTAAAATGAATACTTGATAATTTGAAATAGGAAGAAAAGGTCCAAAGGGGTAGGGGAAGTGCGAGGGGAAGAGGAAAGGAAAGAAGGGAAAGGAAAAATTATGAGAAAAGAAAGATAGGTTTATTTTGGCTTGTGTTTTCAACCCATGGTGAGGCAGCTCCAAGGCAGGATGGATGTGATGGAAGGATCTGGTGGAGGAAAGCTACTCATATCGTGTTAGCCAGTAAGCAGAGAGCAAAGAGAGGAGCCATGGAGAGGGATAAACCCTTCCAGGTCATCTCCCAAGTGACCTACCTCTAATCAGGGCCCACCACCTAAGAGCACACTCTGCCACTGAACTCATTAGTAGATGAATCCACTGATAAGTGTAGTGCCCCTGTGACCCAATCACCTTCCAAAAGCCCCACCTCTGAACACCATGAGGCTTTTGGGGAACATTCTAGATATAAACTATAACAACATCGTTGGACTTTGTGTTTTAATCCAGTTACCCAGTCTGCATCTTTTAATTGGAGAATTAAGACTATTTACCTACAGCGTTTTGGAAAAATACAGACCTATCATTTTGTTGATTTTTCTTCTAGTTTTTTTTTAATATTCTTTGTTCATTTCTTCCTCTTATTCATCTGTGTAGTTTGATCATTTCTTTTGTATTTCTTTTTGTATATTTGCTCTTCTAATGAGATCTCTACTTTTACATGCAGTCATGATAATAGTTATCATTCTTCCTCTTCTGGAGGTAGGGCTTCCTAAGTAACTTACAGGGCCATTCTGGTGGTCATTAATTTCTTCAGTTTTTGCCAACTTGGAAGGTCGTTTTTATTGTTATTTTTTTTGTTTGTTAAAGTTTTTTTTGCTCTGAATGGTACTGGGAATTGAACTAAGGGCCTTGAACATGCTCTACCAAGTACTCTGCCACTGAGCTACATTACTAGCCCACTTCTCCTTGTCTTTGAGACAAATTCTCCCTAAGTTGTCCATACTGGCCTTGTTCTCCTGAGTAGCTAGGATTACTGTTGTACTGCACCCAGCTTCTTGGAACATCTTTATTTTTCCTTAAATTGTGAACAGTAGCCCTACTGACTACGGTAACCTTTGTTGGTAATTACTTTCTTTCAGGACTTGAAATATGTCAATCCATGTTCTCTTGGACTATAAGGTTTCTGCTGAGAAATCTGCTTTTTGAGGGAGTTGCCCTTAAATGTGACTTGGCACTTTCCTCTGGCAGATTTCAAAATTATTTCTTTGTCCTGTATTTTTGACAGTTAGACTATACTGTCTAATGGTGAGGGTCTTTTCTGGTTATGTCTGTTTGGGGCTGTATAATAGGTCCTCCTGGACCAGGATGTCCATGTCTTTCCAACTGGTAGTTTTCTGCTGTTATTTCAGTGAATAGGTTTTCTATGCTTTAAAGTTGATCTCTTCCCTTGTAGATATACCAATAATGAGAATGTTCGATTGTTTAGTGGTGTTTCAAGGGTCTTGAATGCACTTTTCATTCCTCATTTTTTCTTCTTTCTCTGTACATGATATTCTAAATTACTTGTCTATGAGCTTCAAAATTCTTTGTTCTACCTAATCTAGTCTTTTGTTTAGGCTCTCAACTGAATTTTTTATTTAACTTTGTGAGCTCTCAATTGCTAATATTTGTTTGGTTCTTTTTCAGACTTTCTCTTTATGAAATTTCTCATATTTGCATTGTCTTTCTCATATTGTGTGTGTGTGTGTGTTGAAATAGGGTCTCACTATGTAGTTCATGCTGGTCTTGAGCTTACTGGAGCCCAGGGTGACCTTGAACTTTGGGTGATTCCCCCTGCCCCAGCCTCCCAGGTGTTGGGATTATAGACGTGTGTGCCACCATTCCCACCTCTCTTCCTCATTCATTTAACTGTTTATCTGTAAACACTTGTTTCTAATGGAGTTTTTTTTTTTAAATAAAACTATGTATTCTTTTGAATACTTTATCAATCATTTTATCTACTGCTCTATCTTTGGAATCTGTAACCAGGTAGTTATGATCTTTTAAGGAGGTGTCATATGACCTTTTTTCCAAATTCTTGTGTTCCTAAGCTGAAATTTGTGCATCTTGCAGAATCCATCCATGTCTCAACCATTACACTGTAGTGTAATCTCTGTAGCTTCTTTGGCTATGATCTGTGAGTTTCGGTACAGTGAGAACTGTTTTGGAATTAGACCCACTGTTTCTGCAGGTCACAGGAGTGTAGAGACCTTGTCAGTTCAGGCTGGAGTGCTATACATAGCATGGTTGGTTTGGAGCACCCTGTGTGACTCTGTACCATGGGTGTGGCGGCCCCTATTTGTTGATGGTGGTTTCTCTGACTGTCAATGTCGGCTTTGTTACGTGACGGTCTGTGGTACTCTGTGCTGGAGCAGTGACCTCTCGGTAGACACTGGTGCAGGTTCAGTTGCTTCCTGTTGAGAGGTGGTGGCAGAAGTTACCACTCCCCATCTGTGGTGCTCTCTCACAGTCTTTCTGCATTGTGTGATCACAGAAGGTGTGAAAGTAACTTATGGTGGGGACACACACAGGTCCAGTGACAGCAGGAATTGTATTGTTCCTCTCTGCTGCTTCTGTTGCTGGTCTCCTCTCTCATTCTTTTAGGGTTTTGATGGCTTTTTTTTTTTTTTGCCATTGCTGAGGATTGAACCCAAGTACATTTTTTCCTATTTTATAATTTTATTTAAACTAGTATCTGTCTATTCTTCATTATGAGTTTTTACCCAAAAAATGCATACTTATTATTTTCAGATACTTTTTCTATGGAAGTAGTCATTTTTTTCTTCTTTGATCTATTAATATGCTGGTGTGTATTTATAGATTTCATAATATAGGACCCAGTCTTATCTTCCTGGTGGTATAAAACTCAGTCATAATACATTATTACTTTAAACTGTAGCCGCATATGGAGGTGCTCGCCTGTGATCTCAGCACTCAGGCTGAGATAGGAGGATTGCTCTAAGTTCAAGACCAGCCTGTGATCCATAGTTCAAGGACAGCCTGAACTACATAGTGAGATCGTTTCGATAAATAAATAAAGTACTGTACCTCATATGCTACTTTAGATTTTTGTATAGATTCCTGATTACTTTTGACTATTTCAAAATTCAAAGCCCTCATTTAGAAACCTTAAGTATAAAATTTGGAAAGTTCTTAAAAAGGGAGGAATTTTTAGAATGCATTAAGTAAAAGCATTATTGTGATAATTGGTGAGTTTTAACACTATAACACTTACTTCAGTGTACTAATGTTTGTGGTTTTTAAATTTTCTAAAAATTTTTATTATGTTTGCAGTACATAATGATTACATTCATTGTGGGAAGGTGGTATATGTACATAACACATCTTAGTTCTTTTTATGTCTCCTTCCCCTCTTCTCCCTTTATCTTCCCTCAATGGTTAAGAGATCATTGTGTGTTATTCATGCTGCTTATATCACAGGAACTTTTGTTATGAGGAGAAATATAACTTTGATTAATTCAATAGAATAGCTTATGTTGTAAGTATAGGTAAAATCTGTATTTTTCCAGTCTAGATTTATCAAAAAACAAATGTAGCCACCCATCTCAATTATAGAACTACTGTGAGAATTGAAGTTCTCACTAATTACATGAGATGTTTTCCTTCACAGGTTCAGTTTAACTTACAGTTTACAAAACCAAGTACATCACTAGGAGATACTCATTCAGGAGCAGCTATTAGTGTTCCATGCTCAACTGATAAGGAAAAGTAAGTACTTATTGACATAAAATGTAATGCTTGTAGTTTTGAAGGTCATCTTTAGAATTTTTATCCACCTTTTTTTGTACAGTCCTGTACATCTTGTTTAGAGCCTCAGTGTCTTTTTTTATACCATTATACAGTACTATAATTTTTGCTGATTTTCCTGTACCATACAGTACTGTAGTTTTGTTTTTGTACACACAGCACTGCGTGTAAGAGGTGTGCAAATAAAAGCAAAGTCATCAAGTTAGAGATTCCTTTGACCTTTTTGTTCTTAATATTGTGATGTACATACTATATACAATTCCTCATTTAGCAACCAGTTCAGTTAATGACCTAGTCAGGAAATGGAATTCTGTCATTAAACTAGGAATGTTCTTAACTCATTATATACACCAAGAGCAATTTTATTAGCAGAAAATGACAATCATATTCGCAGTACATAAATCATCTGACAACAAAATAGGGTTGGTTGTTCAGTGATTGAAATTTTGTTTAGAAATGATTTGTTCCTTTGTTCTCAGCTAACAAAAAGTACGGTATCAAAGATTAAAGAAAAAAATAAAGTTATAATTGAAAAAAATACCTATTCACTCATCTATTTTCTGAACATTGGAGAAGGACTTGTCATTTAATTTTAAGGGTATAATACTGTTTGGCAAGATCCTTTAATGTCTTACTACAAATTACTATTAGGGAAATTGTTAGCCCTTGTATAAATTTAGAAAGGAGGAATGCATGGTACAAAGGGGTAAAATACAGAAATACCACTTTCTTTTGAAGTTTTACATTGTATTTATCTAACCAAAATTGTCTATTAATGTGATAAATATCATGTATTAATATGATACATGACAATGACCACTTTGAGTCACTAAAGTTTTTGAAGAGCTTTTGATGAAAGGAAAAAGAAATCTTGTTTTAAGTACAGGGTGAAACAGAATTAAATAAATAATACTTGCAAGCCATATACATAAGTATTTTCATCCATGTCTTACTTATGTGCTTATTTAAAGCTTGGAAAATTTTTGTTTCTCCCAAAGTCCTTATTCCACATCTTAGTTTATTGTATTTTTTTATTGTGGGAGAATAGTTTGGTTATGTACAAATAAATTATATTTGCTTAGGAAATCAGTGAAGCATGTGCTATGAACCAAGTTAACCTATATATCTTAGTTGTACTACTTTTTTCTTCAGTCCTGAGGATCAGACCCAGAGCCTCAAGCACGTGAGGCAAGCAGTCTGTCACTGAGCCGCATTGCCAATCCAGTTCGCTTATGTAGAGTACAGGTTAAGTACCCCATACCCGAAATGTTTTCAGATTTCAGGATTTTTTGGATTTTGGAATATTTGCACATACATGATGAGGTATTTTAGGGATGAGACCTAAGTCTACATACTAAATTCATCTGTTTCTTACATACATAGGTTGAAGATAATTTTATATAGCATTTTTAATGTATCCACGTTTTGACTATGAGCCATCATATGAGGTTATGTGTGGAATTTTCTACTTGTAGAGTCTCAGATTTTGGAGCACTTTAGATTCTTGGATTAGGGGCATCCATCTTACATGTTTGTGTGTGTACTGTGTAAGCCTTCCAGAGTAACTCATAGAAAATCAGACGTTAAAAAAAATAATTATTATTTTTCTTTCAAGTGGTGAAAATTTAGGGCTGGAATCCAAATATTTGAAGAAAAGAGAGGATAGCATACCTTTACGTGGTCTCAGCCAGAATCTACTTAGTAATGCAGGTAAGAAGACATTTCTGGACTGGATTTTACACAGCATGGTTTAATTAAATATATAAAGACATAAGTAACAATAATCATTTTTGTCCTCATTTGCAGACCATCAGAAAGATGGCACTTTAGGAGCATTACAGACTTCTTCCAAACCCACAGTGCTCCCTTCCACATCTTCAGCCTACTTCCCTGGACAGTTGTCAAGCAGTTAATTCTAACACCGTTTTATACATTTATTGGCATTTTAGAAACTCACATGGTTTAAAAATCTTAACAGAAGTCCAATCCTAGGCAGGCAAATTTCAAATTTTACTTAAGCTATTGTTAGGTTGTTTGGATGATTTACAGCACACAGATTACTGTATAGGAACAAATTTGTATTGGGATTGCTAGAGTCCAAGTGATTATTTTTGGGTCTCTTTGATAGAATAGTAATATGAATTTCATTAAACTAAGGTGAGTCTATCAATCCTAATAAAGGATATTCTAATCATATTGCATCTGAGTAAACTGAAAAATCTGCTCAGAAAATAGAAACCAAAGAATGCTAATAATTCATTTTACCAGTTTCATTAGTAAAATGTTTTAAAGTTGCCACCTGAGAATTATGAGGGAAAATGATTATCTCCTAAGATTCTATTTTTTTATCTTTAAAGGGAAAAATCCTAACACTCCTTTATGTAACTGCAATGAGTTAACCCTGCACAGCAAGTAACTATGAGTACTTTCCTTGAAACATTTAAATTAGCCTATCGAGTCTATTAACTTTTTATATACTTATGCAAATAATTTGGACACTGTATTTATATGACCAGGTTAAGTATAAAGTGCTTTAGTCACTTGAGCTGAAGTTTGCAGGATTTTAATGCTTCCTTAATAGTTCACTCATCTAATTTTTCTCGTTAATTTGGAACTTCATTAGTTTTGCAGTTAATTTTGTATCCATGGAATTTTGTTTTAAAAATTGGAACCATAGTTTTTAGTGTAAGAGCATCATGAGTATTCATTGTACTTATTTTTATCAGAACTGGATTCATTTTAATGTTTACCTAATAAAGTAAGCAAAAGAACTATTTCTTCGCTTCCCTGTTACTAACAGTTTCAATTTAAAAGTTGTTCCTTGGGACAAAATTTTAAAATTCACCCAGAATCATAGTGCCCCATTTTTCTTATTGACAACCACTCTACATAGAGTAGCATTATCTTTGAGTCCTCTAAATCAATTTTTGTTTGTAAAGTGCTAACGCTTATGTGATAGTTTAAAAATTAGTTTCAAATACTTAGAGGAGGAAAAAAAGTCAAGGTGATACACCAACATTACTTGGTTTAAGACAAAGAATCTTTGCTGTTTTTTTTTTTAATAGATCTGTCTTGAGTCCTATACTTTGAAACTGCTGGCAATTGCCAGCTATCTTAAAATACAGATCTAATCAGAAAATTCAGTAACAATATTATGCAGTGACTTTTCTCTTATTTAAATATACTATATTAGTAAGAACAGTTAAAATAACTTGAAAGCACATATTCTGGAAAGTTTATCGGCAACATGGGAATATGCTTTGCTGTAAATACTCTGTAATATAAGTATATATAAACAGGGTTCGGATGGGATGTGACATACTGCTAGCTTTAAAAATTACATACATAGAGATACCCTCTCCATATACCACACAAAGTGAATTCTTAAGTTATTCTGCTACTAGGTTTTTTGTATAATGTATATATAGACATGTGTGCCAATTCTTTGTCCTACCTCTTAAAATTTTAATTGAAATTGTTTTCCAGTATATAATTGTACATGTGTTAATAATCGGAATGTTGCCTTTGGTTATTTCTATAAACTGATTTTTGTTAATAAAGTTATTAAAATTACACTGAAGAGTATGACATGAAAAAAGTCTTTTAAAACCCTATAATCCCAGTTACTCGGGCTGAAGCGACATAGTAAGTTTGAGTTGCCTGAGAACTTAGCGAGACTCTGTCTCAAAATAAAAAGGGCTGATGATGTGACTCAGTGGTAGAGTGCTTGCCTAGCAGGCAGTGAGACTCTGGGTTCAATCCCCAGGGTGGCAAAATTTAAAAATGAAAGAAATAGGACTGATCTCATTTGTAGTGACATTATCTATGCTTAGAAAATACTTTCAGGTGTCTACCAAGTTTTACAGAAAAAGAGTATTTTATAGTGAAGAAGAAGTGGATTTGAACAGAGATGCTTTGTTACTTAGAAACAATTATGGTAATAAATAAAGCCAAAACAGGCCCTAATAGGGATTCACAGATCAAGACTTTTTTATAAAAATCATTAAAATATTTAATTTTATTAACAGAATATTTACATTTTTATGACCTTATTTAACCAGTGAGTGTTCCAAGTTTAAAAAGCATTAGGCAATAACCACACACAAGATGAAAACAGTGTAAACTATACAATAAACTTTATGTACATTTTTTACAAAGTAACACTTTTTTAAATAATATAACTGGACACAAAAATATACACTTTAGAGAAATTCACATCAGTAATTGTATAAAGCTCTCTTCTAGGGTCCTGAAAATTTAGGACAAACATTAGCTCTGTAAATAAAGTGTTACTGTGACAGTCCTGAAAGGCCACTATATATATTTATCTACATATAGATATCACATTAATTTTTCAAGGCTACCAGCTTTACTAATATAATTTTTAGATTATGTATTCAAGTGTTGAGGTTCTGATGATTATGCAAACAAAAAGATAGTGGTATAAAGAAATAACTAGGAAACAAATTTGAGCCTGCATTTATTTACAGGCTCTTGGCATCCTAATTTAAAATCTAAATGGTCGATATTTTCTCTCTTCAAAAGCAGTAGTATGTCTAAAATAAAGTTACTACAAACAAGCTTGAAGCATGATTCAGATTTAGTACAATTTTCTTTTTTGTTTTTTAATGCAAACAATTCATTTTCCATTTATTTTAGTGCATCTCCATTAAGGCTTTGAATTATTTGACCCAAGATTTTACAGTATTAAAAATCGGACTCAGGATTTTACAGTGTTAAAAACAAACAGGTCCACAATCATAATACCTATTCAGTCTCACTGAGAGCATAGAGTTAAAGCTCAACACCGTAAGGAAATGGTAGCAGAGAAATACATGCTAATATCTAAGAAGTTACATATAGTTTTTAATTAAAGGATGTGTAATAAAACAGTTTAGTGGCAAGAAACTGGTGCTAATAAACAAAAGGTTTCTTTTGAAATGAAATTGTAACATCTTTGGAAAACTGTCCGGTTCTTTCAGTTCTTTCTTTAGTTCCCACAGAGTTCATGCAAATACATTTCTTGAGACAATCTTAAAGTACACTGTAGATGGAAATGGAATGTACATCCAGAACTACAGGCTAAAACTAAGACCTGGGTGCTGATAGAAAAATCTTCCTGATTTCAGTCATCACACATTTGTATCCTGGAGTAAAGGTTCTTTGGCCTCTCCTGGCGCTTGTGTACTATGAGGATGGCTGTGGCTACCACAGTGCTTTCTCCAACTGCTGGACCTTAAGCTTAAATTGGTATGTTCTGGAATAAACAAGGCAACAAGCAGAGCCAACAGTACCGAACAGGCTCCAAAAAGGAAGGGAGGCCCAGGGATGATGGAATTCTGAGAAAGAAAAAAATAATTAGGATTTTTGCACAAATATACTTGTTCATCAGAACAAACTGCTTTTTCATAAGAACTCATCTTTGTGAATTACCATCCAATGATCTCACTAAAGCCATAGTTATAAAATGCATTCCCTTCTTGGGAGAAAAGGGATATTTAAGGTCAGTGTAAATTTCTGGAAATAAGGACTTGGTAAAACAATCAAAAAACTAAAAATACAGCTACCATCTGGTCCAGCTATACCACTCCTTCAATATACCTGAAGGAATTAAAGTCAGCATACCATATGGATACCTGTATATTGATATTTACTGTGGCACAATTCACAATAGCCAAGACATGGCACCAGTCTAGGTGCCTATCAACAGATAAATGGATAAAGAAAATGTGGTATATACACACATGGAGTATTGTTCAGCTGTAAAAAAACAGAATGCTGTCATTTGCAAGATAATGGGTGCAACTTCAGATCATCATATTAAGTGAAATAAACTAGAAAGACAAATGTTATATATTCTCCCTAATAGGTGGAATCTAAAAGATGACATGAAAGTAGAGACTATTATTAGACAAAGAGGAAGTATAAAATACGGGAAATGGACATGATGACAAAAACATACCATTGAAATTTATAAAATTTTATAGGCCCTAATAATAAAAATACCAAAAATATTAAAAAATTTAAAAAGAACTAGCAAAACAGCCTATAAAGAAATACCATATCACTCTCAGCACAAAAACTGAAAACACGTTCTAAATGCCTTGATTTGATAGCCCTAAAGGAGAGCAGTATTCCAGTAGTAAACTCAATTACCATTCCCTTTGATTAAAAAAGGAAAGTACATTCCTGCAGTATGTAAAACCAACAGCTTTTCTATACACCGATAGTCAGCTAGCCAAGAAATCAAGAAAACAATTCCATTCACAACAGCTTCAAATTAGGGATCAATCTAAAAAAGGAGGTGCAGGATTACCTGTACAATAAAAATTACAGAACAGTGAAGAAAGAAATTGAAGACGATGACAGAAAGACCTCCCATGTTTGTGGATCAGCACAATTAATGTTTGAATGGCCATGTATTACTACCAGAAGTGATCTACAGATTCAATGCAGTCTTTATCAAAATACCAATATCCTTCACAGAACTAGAAAAAACAATCCTAAAATTCATATAGAAACACAAAAGATGCAGAATACCCAAAGCAATCCTTAGGAAAAAAAACCCCACAAGACTGGAGGCATCATAATATATACTATTCTAAAAAGCCAGTAACAAAACAGCATGGGCTAGGCATGGTGGCAAATACCCATAGTCCCAGCACTTGGGAGGCTGAGGCAGGATGCTCACTGCAAGTTCAAGCCCAGCCTGGGCTACATAGTGAGACCCCTATCTCAAAAGAACAAAACAAAAAAACAAGCAAAATAGACACACAGACCATTGAAACAGAACAGAGGACGCAGAAACACACAAGTAAGGCCATGTGATTCTGACAAGCCAAAAATACAAACTGGAGAAAAGACAGCTTCTTTTGATAGTGCTGGAAAAACTGGATATCCACTTGTAAAAGACTGAAAATAGATCCCTACCTATCACACTGTACAAAAAACAATTCAGAATGGATCAGGGACCTAGGTATATGACCTAAAAGTTTGAAACTGCCAGGGAAAAAAAAAAAAAAATAGTGAGAAACACTTGACGCCATAGACACAGGGAGATACTTAGGACTCCAACAGCACAGGAAATAATAGCAAGAATCAACAAATCAGACTACATCAAATTAAAGTTTGTGCACAGTAAAGGAAGTAACAGAATAAAGAGCCTACAGAATGGGAGAAAATCTTGGCCAGCTACTCCACACAGAGGATTAATATCTAAAATATATATAAAGAACTCAACACAGATCAAATAGCCCACTCGGTAAATGAGCAAAAATGAACTGAATAGACACTTCTCAGAAGTACAGATGCCCAATAACTATATGAAAAAATGTTCAACTTCTTTAGCCATTAGAGAAATTTAAGTCAAAATTACATTGAGAGTCCCCTTTGCCCCAATCAGAATAGCTATTGTCAAGAATATGAAACAATAGGGGCCAGGGATTTAGCTCAGCAGCACCACACCTGCCTCTCAAACAGAAGGTCCTGAGAGTTCAATCCCCAGTACCAAAAAAAAAAGAATACAAAATAATAAATGCTGATGAAGTTAAAGGAGGAAAGAACCTTCCACACTGCTGGTGGGAATCTAAATCAGTGCAGCCACTATATGGAAATCAGTATGGAGGTTTCTCATAAAACAAAATAATGTAGCGCTACCATTTGATCGAGCTATAACTCCCTGGTATACACTTGAAAGTCAGCATATGCCAGGGATACCTGCGTATCCACATTTACTGTGACATAATTCACAACAGGCAAGATAGGAAACCAGCCT